GCACCACCCCCAGCAGGACCTGAGTCACCAGTGACCTCAACAGGCACAGGCACGGGAGGGTCTACCTGAGAAACACCTGAAGGAGCAGGACCTAGCGCGGGGAGGGGGTCTACCTGGGGAGGACCTGGAGCGAGAAAGAGCGGCGGGGGGGGGCGAGGGGCAGTGCGGTAGGGAAAGAGACGGTAAAAGGGGACTGACTCGTCAAAGGTGACGTCCTGAGACGGAAAGACACGGCGCGAGGCGGGGTCGTAAAACTGCCAGCCAGGCGCGTCAGGGACAAAGCCAAGGAAGACGCAGGGAATGGCGCGAGGGGAGAGCTTGTCCGCAGTGGTATCGCGGACAAAGGCACGGGCACCCCAGACTCGGAAACGCGACGCATCGCCAACCTCCCCCGTCCAGCGCAGTGTGGGCGAAGTCTCCGGCACGGAGACACGGGGCCAGAGGTTGAGCTGATGCGCGGCGTACCGGACCGCAAACGGCCACAGAAAATGGGGGGCAGCCGCATGGATCATGGAGGTACGAGCGACCTCCATGACTAAGCCAATGCGGCGCTCAGCAATCCCATTCTGCTGCGGAGAGGCCGGAAGCGTGAACGTCTGGCGGATGCCGTGCTCCTCACAGTAGGCTCGCAAGAGTTCTGAGGAGAACTCACCACCTCTGTCAGAGTGCAGACGCAGGACAGGAAAGTCCGACTGGAACCGCTCGTGGAGCTGGAGACGAACAGCGTGGATCCAGGGGATCAAAACATTAGGGACCTCCCCCTTGCGCTGCAAGGGGAAGACCGTGGTGTAACGCGTGTAGTCGTCGACATCCAGCAGAAAGTACCGCTCGTGGCCGTGCCCTCGGACGCGGGCTGGGCCCCACACGTCCAGGTGGAGAGTCTGCAGTGGAGCCTCTGTGGGAGGGAACGAGGAGGAGTGAGGAGCGGCGCACTGCCGCCCCTCGACGCAAGGAATGCAGGGCGGTGCAGGCGAGGGAGGGAGGTCAGGCAGAGACCTGGGAAGTCCAGAGACCAGGGAGCGAGAGTGCATGCCACGCAGGCGAGGCAAGGAGGGGTGACCAAGGCGGTGGTGCCAAAGGAGAGTCTGGTGCGACAGGCGACAACACTCACACTGTGTAGCTACCTGAGCAGACGCGTACAGCTGAGGAGACAAAGGGGTGTAGCGTGATGTGGTGGTGAGGGTGTACAGACTGGACCCAGACGCACGTGTGAACGTGGCCAGGTGACGGCCGGTCCGGGAGCACGTGCAGATCGCCACACGCTGTCCTCCACACGGTGTCAACCCAATGATCCTGAAGGACGGCGTTGCTCACCAAGTTCGTAGAGAACGAGGGGAGGTGGAGACCAGACAGCTCACCAGACGGGACCGCCGGACACGGAAGCACAGTGGTAGACCATGCAAGCACTGGGCCCCCAGAGGGATCAGCTAGTGAGACAGGGACAGGTGCAGGGAGGGGAGTGACTGTGGTGCTGTCGCGAAAGAAACAGCGGGAAGGACCAGAGTCAAGTGTAAAGGTGTGCAAGGCCTGTGCGGACGCAGTACCAGGGAGAGCAGACTCACGAGCACCTAGAGCTGCAGGCGCTATACCTGGGGCTATACCGGGGTCAGGCAGCACACACAAGTAGCAGTCACCCTCAGCACTAATAGTCAATGCATACATGGCAGCAAGAATAGCATCATAGTCAAGATCAAAGATAGGTACATCACGCCTAAGCAGGTCTGCCCAGTTGGGGAACTCAGTAGCATCAGGAAACTTGACGCGCCAGGCGTCGCTAAGCCGAGCGAAGCAGCGGTACTCAGTGTGAAAGCCGGTGCACTGGCGACCAGCACGGGGACCTGCGCGAATGATATAGGGGCAGCGACCAGGACCCCCAGACGCCCCACGCCCGGCATACCAGTCATGAAGCTGCTGGGAAGTGGGGGTCTGGCGCTGACGCTGCTGCGGCTACTGCTGCTGCTGCCCCTGGCCATCACTGGCCTCACCCAAGCCCCCACCACCGCCGCCACCACCACTCCCCCCTCCGCCACCACCGCCGCCACCACCGCCACTGCTCCAGGCACCACCACCGCCCCCACCACCACCTCCACCCCCACAACCACCCCCACCGCCTCCACCACCGCCCCCTCCACCGCCACGTCCACCACCCATGCCACCCCTGCCTCTTCTGGAGCCGCTGCGCTTCCCACTAGGAGCGGAAGCAGCTGCGACCTTCTCAGCACCAAGGAGGTCGACAGCAGCAGCTGCGGAGGCGTAGGAGGGGGTAAGAGGGGAGGGGGAGCACCCCTCAAAGAGGGGAGTGCGAGGAGTACCACGAGCAGCACCTACAGCGAGGATGTTCTTCTCGGCTGCTAGGAGGTGCTTCTCAAAGTCGGCGACAGTGAGAGTGGTAGGGTCTAGGGCTATGAAGTGGTCCTTGACGGAGCTAAGAGTGTCAGGGAGGCGGGTGACGAGGAAATAGAGAGTGAAGTACATCGGGGGGGGTTCTTGGCGTAGAACTTGGCTGGAAGGGCGGCACGAAAGCGAGTGTCACTAGTGCGAAGGTGAGAAATGAGGTCCTCAGCAGTGGTAAACGAGGACAGGTCCGGGAACAGGTAGGGTAGCATGAGCCGACCTAGGGCTGCAGTGGTTGGGGAGGAGTAGCGTGCAACTACAGCGTCATACAGTGCCTTAGCAGTTTTGTGTTGGCTGAAATGCGCGCGCTCAGTGATCGGCAGATGATTTCGAATAGCTAGGCGTGCAGCAGCATCGTGAGTCTGCCACTGTGAGCGTTCGAGAGCGGTAGCATCGTCAGCAGGAGCAACGGCAGTGCCAGACGCGTAATCGAACAGTGAAACGCCGTCTTTGGCATCAGTCAGGAGAAACAGTTGGAGATCGTCGAGCCACGTGGTGAACTCTATCGGGCGACCGTCAGGCTCAAACGCGAGAACATTAAGTGTCGCCATAATCGCAGTGCAGGCAAAGGCAGTAGGCAAAGGCAGTAGGCAACAGGCAGCAGGCAAAGGGCGCGAGCAGCAAGGGCGGCGCGCAAAGCAGGCGCAGGCAGCTCAGGCAGCGCGCGGGGCAGCAGCAGGCCGCGCGCAGGCTACAGAGGCGCGGCTCGAGTAGGTAGGGCGACGCGCGTGGCTGCAGAGGGCCGTGTATAGGCTGTCAGAGCGCGGCGCGCGCTGCGCGGATGGTGCGCGGGGCAGCTGCGGGCCGCGCGCGCACTGCGCGGGCTCGACGCGGGATGCGCGGGCGGTGCGCGGGGCGCGACGCGGCTGCCGAGGCGCGACGTGAGCAGAGAGGGCGACGCGCGGGGCAAAACGGGGCAGCGCGCGGGAATAAGGTCTGCGCGCGCGAAGCAGCAGCACACAGCTCAGACAGCAGACAGCAGGCAGCAGGCAGACAGTGCGCGCAGCGCAGCACGTCCTAGGCACAGTCACAGTCACAGTCGTGGGGTAGCGGTAGGTGGGCCCGAAAAAAAAAAAAAGACGGTCCTACGAACCTACTGCTCTGAATACCATGCCAGAAGTCTAGGCAGGAATGAATGAACTAGAACAGAGATGGGTACAAATATGAAACCCTAATGGGGCTATACCCCATGTTGGCTATCCCACCACAGCCTAAACATATATAGCATATATATCATTAGACATCCCGGTCTCAGCTTCGCCGCTGCGCCGTCAAATCGTGTAGACGCCCGGTTCTGGAGAAACCTGTAAACTGCACCAATGTTGTCCACGCAGCTCCCCGACTTTTTCGCGTGCCGTTCACCCAGCCCGCTTTTGTCGGACTAGAACAGTGCCGCGAGCTCCACTTTTTTTTGTCGTTTCTGTACAGCTGTTGAACGAGCACCAATCCAGGTGCCTTTAACCAGCACAGGGTAGGCACGTGTTCACCCCCGTTATTCGGCCGAGTAAGTTGACTGCATGAGCCAGAACTAAAACTTGGTGGGGATGGTGAGGTTCGGGCGAAGTAGGGCCGCAAATCGATTCCACCGGCTTTTAACCTGCTCCCTGCAACGTTCTTCAACCCTCGCTTAGCCGTTGGGCCGTTTCTGCCCGTGTGTCCTGGCAGCCTGTACCGACCCCTCCGAAATTGTCGTGGGTTGTCAGCAGCTGTCCCCGAAAACGAATTCCCTGGTCAGGAGAAACGAGCTTGCAACAACACCAGGCACTCAGCGTCGCACGAGTTGCTTCCGAGGTGTACCTGCCTCGATTTCCCTCGCCGCCTGCGTCCCACTTCTACTACCGGTAAGTGCGATATGGCCACTCCGTTTTTCGTTGCAGCCCGTAAGTGTCGGCGAGTCTGAAGTCCCGTCTGTCCACGAGCACTCCTGCCGAAATATTCGATGACACGCCCGCCATGCAGTAAAAGCCGCTGCACTTCAGGTCGGGCGGGATGACAGTTGACCCCGCATAATTCGGGCAATTCGCGTGTCGTTTATCCTCGTCCACCGATATGTTCGGACGCAAAACTCCATTTGCGCCTGGCGAGTTCCCCAGCCGACTTTTTCTCCATAGTTGCTCCGAAATTATCACCCACAGTGACGCACGTCCCTTGTCGCCAGTTGCCGAGCCACACTCCGTGAGTCACGCGCGCAAGATGACGACGAGCCACCGTTGTCACTTGCCGCATGGGACGGACTCCGAAGTTGTCGCGCAGTTGTTGACTCAAGTCCGACGGCGTCAGCTGCCACACACGCTGACGACTTCCGCAAAATTCGTGCAGGTGCCAACGCAGGTCCGCTGACGTCAGCTGCCTCACAAAATTCTGAAATCGTCGTTAAAACCGCAGCGGAATAGTAACTTACTTTTAATGTCGCGACAGCTACAGCTGTCCGTTGCCCGGGGGGAGGGAGGCCACGGTCGATCGCGACCGTTCGAGGCAAGGATCTGGCCAGGGCCAAAATTTTCATACCCTGTTTCCAGCAGGGTAAATCTACCACTAGCCTGATTTGAGCAGGGTAGTTTTAGGCTAAGCCTGTTTTTGTATCTATATTGTGAGTTAACTTATTTTTAATGACATACACAAGTAGCACATTCAGAGTCCATGAAGTCTACACACGCAACACATGCACTAAACACCTACTCAGTGCCACCCCCACTGCCTACATCTTCTTCTACAAACTGGGTCTACGAAGCCCGGGTGGGGTCAAACTCCTTGGTGGATCGCCTCAGCTTCTCTCCACGAAAGATGGCGACCACCTCAAACCAGTCGACCTCGTACCGCAGCATGGAGCAACGCATCAGATGCTCCAGGCTTGTGTCGCCTAGGCTGCCGCGTCCCCAAGTCTTGATTAGATTCTGCTTCGAGAAGCCGCGCTCGCATTCAACCGTGCTCAGTGGCAGCACGGCGACTGATTGCCACATCCGCATGATGTTGGGGAAGGAGACACGCCATGCATCATCCCGCAGCATGTTCATCAGCGCCTGGTGAAACTCTTCGTTGTTGTGCTGGGAGAACATTGTGGATGTAAACATCCATAGCTCTTGCTGGGCTCTCTTGTAGTCAAACCCTGTGGTGGGGCGGGGTTGGGGTGAAAGCTTGGCCGATGCTCGCAGACACGGGTAGGAATGGGGGGCATTAGTCCAACAAGCATCGGACAGGTTTGCGTGCACGGGTTAACCTCAATGCGTAATTAGTTGAGACATCTCACGTCAGAAGTTTTGCTATCGCTGCACAAGGCTTACCTGGCAACTTGTTGTGGTACAACTTGTGCAGCTGGCCGAGCCACTTCTTAAAAGTTTCCACGCGCTTCGTGTCGTCGGGCACGTACGAAGCTGTGCAAAACAACTTCGTACCTTCCAGCAGCTGCAGGTCGCGCATCCGCCACTCCAGCTCTTTGTCAATGGCACGCACGTACTTGATCGACAGCTCGACGCACGCCGTGACATCGCCATCCGTTTCATGCCCTGGCAGCGGGCGCTCGTGCAGCGTGAATTCAAACGTGACGGGATTCCCCTCCCCGTCCACGCCCTCCGCCTTCATCTCGCGCTTATCCTTCGCCTGGTGCCTCTGAATGAACTCAGGAAGCTGCATTTTCTCCCCGCTGCCGAAATGGTGTGAAGGGTCACGGAGGGAATACCGCGTCTTCAGACGCATCCTTGTCTGCTGCACGATGTGCGCAACAAGGGTAACATCCACCTGCACCAGGGCATGAGAAGGAGTCAGGTAGTGCACGAGAAGGCTTGCAACAACATAAACGACAGCGACAAAGGCGCTTACCTGCCGCTGCTGGAAGCGCTGGTTGAGGCAGTTTAGTTCCCACAGCACATCCGCAAGAAAGCGGATGAGCCAGTGGAACTTGAACGAGGTAACCATCTCGTACAGTTCCGCCTTGTAATCCTTCAGCACCACTATGGCAGCAGAGAGCACGTCGAGCAGGCGCTGGATCGCTTCACCACGGGTGAGCCAGCGGGTATCGCTAATCCCCTGCGCCTCTAAATTCGTCTGGCAGAATATCCGTTGCATCTCTTGAAACTTCTAGTAGTCCACGCTGCTGCGGCCGATGTGGTCAGCGAAGGCGCGCACGACATCGTCAATCATTAGCAGCTCAGGTACCTCTTCAGCAGCATCACTAGCAGCGAGTGCCTCCCTGTACATAACGGCACACAGACAGAGAGTAAGTCCATGGAATCTCATGTAGTAAATGCAGCACGGAGCAGCAAAAAGGTGACGCATACCGGTGAGCGATACAATGTGTTGAGGCGAGATGCGGAATGTGCATTCGCAGCCGTGTCACGACTCCGCGGTTCTTGCCGACCATCACGCTGGCACCATCAGAGGCGACGCTGGAGATCTTCTGGAGGTCGACACCGATACCTGTGAGATACTGCACGACAGCCGACGTGAGTGAGGCACCGTCACAACGGTCAACAGTAATGAGAGTTAAGAACTCTGTAACCACCGTGGTGCGCTGGAAGAACGTGGCGTAAAGAATGAGGTGCTTCCCATGCACCCGGTCCGTGCTCTCGTCAAGGAGATCCCTATCCACGGGGATTCAAGCAGGTGCAGATGTTGTGTTTCTTGAAGGTATGTTGAGAGTGTGCGCAGGTTTTCCTTGAATCCGTAACTGCCAGGGGGAAACACAGGTTGTCAAATCACAGAGTGCATAATACTGAGTACACCAGTTTCACATACACTTGCCACCACTTACTCTGTGTAGTACGCGCCGTAGCCGCCACGGGGAGGAAGGTCTGGTAACCCCTCCTTCGCCAGAAACCAGCACAGTGGGACGAACATCGCTATGGGTGCGTCCGCCTTGCAGACGAAGAGCGCGATGTGGAGGAGCCGAATGATGTGATGGGTGGAAGCGTCCGTGGCCTGCCACCGAGTGAGTGTGGCCTGATTCGCCTTCTCTGCCTCCGCCTTCTCCTGATTCTCCACCGCGTTCTTGTGTGCACGGGTCGCGGAGTGAGTGCGGATGCTGCCAATCTGGAGATCCCGCGCACCCTCACCCTTCGCCCCATACGCGGTGTGCGCTAGTGGATCTCCGTACTTCACACAAATGGTACACTTCAAAGACGGACGACCGTTAGACATGCGGAGTAAACGCAACCATTTGAAGCTACCTGCCCACTGACCGTCAAACGTCTTCTTCACCGACTCGTACTCAGCATCTGCCAGAGCGGTGGGTGGCTTCGGATCGGCCGAAGGAGCATGGCGCTTGTTTGAAGTAGCGTCTCGGGGAGGAGGGGCGCCCCAGAGCGTCTGCTGCTTGTATGTAGTGTCAGATTTATATGACATAGCTACTGTAGGCTATAGTGGGGTAGCACATATGGGGTACAGTTTTCTAGGGTTTACATTTGTACCCAACTCTCCCTTAGTCAATTCATTCTCGTTCAGTTTCTCATGGTATCGAGCAGGTTCCCCTGTGGGAACTGTTCCTAGGGCCCACCACATTTTTTTTTCCTGCCCGGAGCGCGCTCTCCACTGCCCGAGTCGCGCTCCCCTCTCTCGACCCTGTCGCGCCGCCTTAGCGGCCCCGTCGCGTCGCGCTTGCGGCCCCGTCGCGTCGCCCTCGCGGCCCCTTCACGTCGCGCCGCCCTAGCGGCCGCGTCGCGCCGCCCTCGCGGCCCCGATCCGCCGCCCTCGCGGCTCCTTCGTGTCGCGCCGCCCTCGCGGCCCTTTCACGCCGCCCTCGCGGCCCTTTCTAGCCGCCCTCGCGGCCCTTTCTAGCCGCCCTCACGGCCTCTTCAAGCCGACCTCGCGACCCCCCCCCTCCTAGCCGCCCTCGCGGCCCCGTCGCCTACCCCTGCGGCCCCGGCGCCGCCCTTCCCTGCCTCGGCACCGCCTCTGCTGGCCCCGTCGCCTACCCCTGCGGCCCCGGAGCTGCCCTTCCCGGCCCCGGCGCCGCCTCTACTGGCCCCGACGCCACTCCACCCGGCCCCGACGCCGCTCCACCCGGCCTCGCCGCCGCTCCACCCGGCCCCGCCGCCGTCCCCACGCGGCCCTGCCGTCACCACCGAGCCGCCGGCGCCGCCGAGCTACTGCCGAGCCGCCCGATCCACCCGAGCCGCCCGAGCCGCCGCGCCACCTGAGCCGCCCGAGCCGCCGGGTCGCCGAGCCGCCGAGCTGCAGTTGCTGCCGCACCGCCGTACCGCCGAGCCGCCCGAGCCGCCCGAGTCGCCGAGTCGCCGAGCCGCAGTTGCTGCCGAGCCGCCGTACCGCCGAGCCGCCCGAGCCGCCCGAGCCGCCGAGTTGCCGACCCGCCGAGCCGCCGAGCCGCCCGAGCCGCCCTGTCCGGTAAGAGCAGCGCCTCTGTCACTGCACTGCCCTTACCCTACTGTTCGCGCTGCTAGTCTACTGCTGTCATGGCTACCCCTAGTGTCCTCGCTTTTGACGCTGAGGGTCGGGCCATTGACTTTGACGTCTGGGTAGATGACCTGCAGCTTTTCCTACAGTGCGATAGGGCAGACGGTCTCTCCCTCTTTGACCTCACCTCTGGTGCCTCTCCTGCCCCTGCTGCTGATGCCGACGCCACTGTTCGCTCACAGTGGGCCACACGCGATGCTGCTGCACGTCTTGCTGTGCGTCGCCACCTGCCTACCTCTGAGCGTGCGCACTTTAGCCAGTACAAGAGTGCTCACACCTTGTACGATGCTGTAGTTGCGCGCTACTCCTCCCCTACCACTGCTGCACTGAGCCGCCTCATCCTACCGTACCTCTTCCCTGACCTTGCTGCCTTTCCCACAGTCGCTGACCTCATTACGCACCTCCGCACTAGTGACACTCGCTACCGCGCTGCGCTTCCTGCTGAATTCTGCGCCAAGAACCCCCCCCCCATGTACATCACCCTCTACTACATAGTCACCCGGCTCCCTGACTCCCTTCGCGTAGTCAGGGACCACTTCCTCTCAGTTTGCCCCACCACTCTCACCGTTGACCTCCTCGAGAAGGCCCTCCTAGCAGCAGAGAAGAGCATAGTCGCTGTAGGAGCCTCTCGTGGTGACCCTCGCACCCCCGTCTTTGAGGGGTGTTCCCCCTCCCCCCTTTTGCCCTCTGTTGCCTCTGCTGCTGCGACCGACCTCGTTGGTTTCGAGTCGGTCGGCGCTGCGTCTGCCCCGAGCGGGAGACGCCGCACCGGCAAGGGCAAGGGGGGCAAGGGTGCTGGAGGGGTTGGCGGGGGTGGCGGAGGTGGCGGTGGAGGCAGTGGAGGGGGTGGGGGTGGTGGTGGGAGTGGTGGCGGGGGTGGAGGTGTCGGTGGCGGCAGTGGAGGCGGAGGCGGCGGCGGCGGTGGCGGTGGGAGCGGAGGTGGCGGAGGTGGCGGCGGTGGAGGAGGCGGCGGCGGAGGAGGTGGAGCTGGTCGGGGTGGCGCTGCGCAGAGGGTCGGCTCCGGTGGTGGTCAGCGCCAGCAGCAGCAGCAGCAGCGGCAGCAGCGCACTCGTGACATCCCCCCCCCTCAGCAGCTCCGTGAGTGGTACGCTGCACGCCAGCGGGGTGGGGGTACTGGTCCGTGCACCTACGTCCTACACACCGGCGACCGCGCGGGTGAGCAGTGCGGGGGTGCGCACTCCACCCAGCGCTGTTTTGGCCGCCTGACGGACGCTTGGTGTCACCAGTTCCCTGAGGCCACTGAGATCCCCCGCTGGGGCGAGCTGTCTAGGGCGGGTGTAGCTGTCTTTGACCTTGACTTTGATGCTATTCTTGCTGCCATGTATGCTGTGACTATTACTGATGAGGGTGACTGTTACCGGTGTTTTCCGCCCGACCCGGGCATTGAGACTGCTGCTCTAGGTACTGGTGAGGCTGCTGCTCTAGGTGCTAGCGAGGCTGCTGCTCTAGGTGCTCGTGTGTCTGCTCCCTCAGGTGCTGGTGAGTCTGCTCTCTCAGGTACTGCGTCGGCTTCGGCCTCCCACACCTTCACCCTTGACTCGGGGGCTTCTCGCTCCTTCTTTCGAGACCGCACCACACTCACGCCGCTTGGCCGACCAGTTGCAATCTCTCTGGCAGACCCCTCTGGGGGTCCTGTCCTTGCTCACTTCTCCACTGTCCTCCCGTGTCCGGCGGCCCCCTCTGGCACCCTGTCTGGTCTTTATCTCCCCTCGTTCTCTACGAACTTGGTGAGTGGTGCTGACCTACAGGATGCGGGGGTTCACCAGTTCACTCCTGCGAGTCAGCGGGTGACCCACTGCACGGACGCTCGGACTGGCCGACACCTGGCCACGTTTACACGTCGGCCGGGGTCGAGCCTGTACACACTGACCACTGCGTCTCCTCCAGTCACTGCGTCTGGTCAGGTAGCTGCGTCGGGTCAGGTGTTTGCTGCAGCGTCCAGGTCTGGTCCTGAGTCTGCCCCCTGTTTGTGTCGCCTCCTGTCGCACGAGACTCTCCTCTGGCACCACCGCCTTGGTCACCCCTCCCTGCTTCGTCTCCGAGGCATGGCCTCCCGTGTCCTTGTCTCTGGTCTTCCCCGGTCCCTCCCTCCCCTTCCTCCGGGGCCAGGCCCTACCTGCGTCCCTTGTGTCGAGGGGCGGCAGCGGGCTGCCCCTCACTCCTCCCAGTTTCCTTCGACAGAGGCCCCGCTGCAGACGCTTCACATGGACGTGTGGGGCCCGGCCCGCGTCCGTGGACAGGGTCACGAGCGCTACTTCCTGCTGGTGGTTGACGACTACTCGCGTTACACCACAGTCTTCCCCTTGCGCAGCAAGGGTGATGTCACTGAGGTGTTGATCGACTGGATCCGCGCAGCTCGTCTCCAGCTCAGGCAGAGCTTCGGCTCGGACTTTCCTGTTCTGCGTCTGCACTCTGACAGAGGTGGAGAGTTCTCCTCTGGCCTTCTGCGAGCCTACTGTCGTGCACGAGGCATCCGCCAGACCTTCACGCTTCCTGACTCTCCACAGCAAAATGTGATTGCTGAGCGCCGCATTGGCATGGTCATGGACGTCGCCCGTACGTCCATGATGCATGCGGCTGCCCCCCATTTTCTGTGGCCGTTTGCGGTGAGGTACGCGGCGCATCAGATCAACCTTCACCCCAGGGTCTCCATGCCGGAGACCTCCCCAGCTTTGCTGTGGACGGGGAAGGTTGGCGATGTGTCTGCGTTCCGTGTCTGGGGATCTCGGGCGTTTGTCCGCGACTTGTCTGCGGACAAGCTGTCCCCTCGTGCTGCTCCTTGCGTCTTCCTTGGCTTCCCCCCTGACGCGCCAGGGTGGCAGTTCTACCACCCCACCTCTCGCCGTGTTCTGTCCTCCCAGGACGTCACGTTTGACGAGTCGGTCCCCTACTACCGCCGCTTCCCCTACCGCACTCCGTCCCTCCCCCCGCCACCGCTCTTCCTTGTGCCAGGTCCCCCCCCGGTAGACCCCCTCCCCCCTCAGGGTCCTGCCCCTTCAGGTGTGTCCCAGGTAGAAGCCGTTGAGCCTGTCGAGGTTACTGGTGACTCTGGTGCTGCTGAGGGTGCTGAGCCTGGGGGTGCTGACTCTGGGGGTGCTGAGCGTGTGGGTGCTACGCCTGGGGGTGCTGAGCCTGAGGGTGCTACTCCTGGGGGTGCTGAGCCTGGGGGTGCTGAGCCTGGGGGTGCTACTACTGGGGGTGCTGAGCCTGGGGGTGCTGAGCCTTGGGGTGCTGAGCCTGGGGGTGCTACGCCTGGAGGTGCTGAGCCTGGGGGTGCAGAGCCTGAGGGAGCTGGGCCTGCTCGTGTGGCGTCTGGCGGTGCTGAGCCTGGAGGTTCTCCGGGTGCTTCGTCTCGGCGGGAGCCACTCTCTCCACAGGAGCTGCGCGAGTGGTTTGCCCGGCGCTGGAGGCGTGCTGCTGGAGCTGGAGGTTCTTCGGCTGCTGAGGGTGCTGGTGCCGCGGGTCCCGGAGGTGCTCGTACTGGGAGTACTGGAGCTGCTGGGCCTGCGGGTACGACTGGAGCTGGAGCTGCTGAGGGTGTTGACGCTGAGGCTACTGCTATCGGTCCTGGAGGCGGTCCTGCTGGGGGTGCTACTGGTGCTGCTGGAGGTACTGGAGCTGGAGGTGCTGCTGGCGCTGGTGCTGCCGCTGGGGGCACTGGTGCTGTCCCTGCCGTGTCTGGAGTCGCCGCGCGGCCTCGGCCGTACTTCGTTCCGCTCCTTCAGCAGGTTCTTGGTCTCCCGCCTTCTACTGGTCCTCCTCCTCCCTTAGAGTGTCCACAGCCTGTCCCGTCACAGTTACAGTTACAGCCGGCCTCCCCACTGCCCGCTCCTTCTCCCTACACTGGTCCTACTGGAGGTCTGGCTGAGCGTCGTGAGCCTGCGTCTCGCCCTGCGTCGCCTGTCCGTCCT